TCCGTGCATAATCCGTATCCCGATACTTCAGAAAAAGGTAAAAAAGCCCTTCAAGTTTTATCACTTTCTCACACTGCACCATACGTTTACGCAGACAATCAAGAACTCTTGGAACAGTAACAGTTGAGAAGACACTGATCAATTCAAATTATGAAAATCTCTACAAGCACTGAAAGCTTCCCTGCGATCCCTTCGCCACAGACATTTCAGCGACATATCTCAATGTGTCAAATTTGAGACTGAGAAATTACGGCAGGCTCAGTCCGCTTTGTTGTCTTCTCCAACAATCGAGCAAGTGTTTGAGGAGTGCCGAATTCGGAATAAGTGTTTGAGGAGTGTCGAATCCGAAAAAACTGGACACTTCTCTGTGTCGCCGAAGAGTCATTCTATAGGAAACGTTCAAGGATTAGATGACTACAAATGGGTGACAAAAATACATCATACTTCCATAAATTGGTCAAGGGACGAACAACCAGTAACCATATCTACTACCTTGAAAATCAGGGAGGACTCAGACTGAACACCAACCCGAAAATCAAGGATCATGCAGTGGCTTATTTCAGGGGACTGATTGGTAGTCGCGACCCTAACACTTGATGCCCTTCATCAGCTTGGTTGGAACAATTGTTCTACTATTCTAATCCCCCTGACTCAGTGCAAGAACTATTTAGGGTTCTATCTTCCGAGGAAATACAAGCGACCCTCTTCAGCATGACAAACAGTAAAGCTCCAGGCCCAGACGACTTTGCCAAGGAGTTCTTTACGGCAACTTGGGGATCTACTGGTAATGACTTGATAAAAGCAATTCCGAATTTCTTTGAAACAGGTTGTATGCTCGGTCAGCTCAATGCCACCATCACCACCTTAGTTCTAAAGAAGCCGGGAGGAGTGTCATTATCCGACTTCAAGCCGATCAGTTGTTGCAACACGGTATACAAACTCATTTCCACCCTCCTCACCCAACGGCTAAAGTCTATCCTGCAATCTGTGATTTCGCAGAACCAAGGAGCATTCATCAAAGGCAGATCTATGATTGATAATATACTCCTTGCCTCGAAGTTGGTCCGAGATTATAACAAGCCTTCATCTCCTCCGAGTGTGATGCTGAAGATTGACCTACATAAAGCATTTGACACCGTTTGTTGGGAGTTTATCATCAGAATCTTGAAAGCGCTTAAGCTGCCATCAAGATTTATAGCACTACAAAAAAACAGTTATACAGCGACGGAAAAATCCGTCGCAAATATAAAAGAAATCCGTCGCAATTAAGAATTTGCGACGGAATGCGACGGATTTATTTCTATCGGTATAGCGCTGTCGCAAATGTATAACAGTCGTTAATCCGTCGCATTTTTGCGACGGAAAAAATCTGCGTTTTGCAACGGAAAGTGACGGATAAATCTGTCGCAAATTGCGACGGAATTTTTTCCGTCGCATTCCTCGCAAATGTTTTAAAAAATTTTAAAAAAATATAGAAATTTTTTATACTATATATACACACATATATATATTTTCACATACACATACATTCATACACATACATTACACACATACAAATATACATATACATACATACATATATATACACATATTTTCATATACACAAACACACATACACATTCACACATATACACATATATACACATACATAAATACTCATACACATATACATTTCACAAACACATACACATACATATAAACACACACATATACACATATTCATATACACATACAATTACATATACATACACATACATATTCACATTCACATATATATACACATCCACATACATAAACACACACACATACACATTCACACATACATACACATCCACTTACACATATATAAACACACACATACACATTCACACATATATATACACATTCACTTACACACACATACACATACATAAACACACACAAACACATCAAACACACACATATATATATACATAAATACATATATATTACCTTATGGAAGAAACTTGGCGATCTTTGGAGAGATTTAGAACAATTTTGGCGATTTTTATTTTTTTTTGAAAATCTTTGAAGTCTGATGAAGAATACGACTCGTGGTTTTATATTGCGTTTTGCGACGGAATTTTCCGTCGCAATCCGTCACAAAATAAAATTAATTTACGCGCCCAAAATTCAAAAAATTTCGTCGAAAAACGAAACCAAATACATTGCGACAGAAAATTTCGCTGCAATCCATCGCAATTTTTATTTTCCGTCACAAATCATCTATTTCTTTGTTGTGACAGAATTATCTGTCGCAAACCGTAGCAAATTGCGACGGATTTTGCGACTGTTTGCGACGGATAATTTTTTCCACATTCTGTCGTAAAATCGTCACATTCCGTCGCAATTTTCGGTGCGACGGAAATTTCCGTCGCAAATTCCGTCACTATATGCAGGTTTTTTTGTAGTGTAGGTTGGATTAAAGCTTGCATCACTACTCTGAAATTCTCAGTAGCCATTAATGGCGAGTTAGCGGGGTATTTTAAAGGTAGAAGAGGGCTAAGACAAGGTGACCCACTATATGGAGGTTCTATCAAGAATGTTAGACTATGGAGTAAGGCACCATGCTATAAAGGCCCACCCGAAGTGTCGAAACCCTCTAATCTCCCATTTTGCATTCGCGGATGACGTGATGATATTCTCAAAAGCGGACCTGGGTTCAATACATGAAATTAGAAGTGTAATTGCTACTGGGGGTGCTTCTGGGCCGTGGAGGTTAACCAAGAAGGACTATCAACCACTCCTGACTCGAATTAAGATAAAGATGAACTTCTGGGCAAATAAGTTCCTTTCGGCTGCCGGAAAAGTTCTCCTCATTAGCTATGTAATCTATGGTATGATTAACTCATGGAGTTTGGTGTTTGTGCTTCCTAAATTTTTTGTGAGACAGATCAATAGCCTTTGCTCTAACTTCCTATGGATATCCAAAAACTCGGGGACCCTTTGCATCGGATTGCATGGATAGATGTGTGTTGTCCGGGAACCGAAGGAGGATTGGGTCTGCGAAAAATTGAAGACTACAATCTGGTCTTCAGGCTAAAGCTTATATGGATCCTATTTTCTAAATCAAGGTCCTTATGGGTTGCTTGGGTGAAAGCAAATATACTCAAAAAGAGGGGCTTCTGGGGCACGCAACCATCGATGAAGTTTTCTTGGAACCTTAGGAAGCATCTTGGCCTCAAGGACCTTGCAAAGAATCTGCTCAGGTATCAAATTGGAGTCAGGAAAACAGCGAGCTTTTGGCAGGATGTGTGGACTGACCTTGGGCCTCTGATCTCGTTCATTGGTAACCTAGGCCCTATGCAACTCAGGCTACCTAGGGAATCAACTGTTAGCTGAGCCACGACAGGATCAACTTGGAATCTACCTGGAGCAAGATCTGACAGAATCCAACAGTTGCATATGGAGCTAGCAAGGACAGCAGTTCCGGTAGATGATAGAGGATTTGGCATACCGCTATGGAATTTTGCTGAAAACGACTTCCAGCAACAATTCTCATCAACAAGAACATGGAGGCTGATTCGATTAACCAAGCCGTATCATGGCATACTCTAGTTTGGTTTCGCGGATCTATTCCACGTTATGCTTATGTTCAGTGGCAGGCAATGCACAACAGATTGCCGACAAGGATAGACTCCGACGATGGGGCTTGGATTCTGACAGCACTTGCAAGCTCTGTGGTGATGAGGAAGAGTCGCACCATCATCTCTTCTTCAAATGCAGCTTTAGTAGGCAGATTTGGGAACATTTTGCCTCTTCTTGTTGCCTGAACCCACCTGATGGTCTTACGTGTCTTGGCGGGAGCAACATCAGACTAACAATGACAGAAGCTAGATTACTATTTCCAAGCTGATTGCTCAGATTTCGATCTACGAGCTATGGAGAGAGCATAATCATTGCATCCACCGTAACAATGCGAGGACAATTGCGATTGTTCGATGGAAGTTGGTCCGGACGATTCGAAGCTTACTGCTTGCCAGAAAAACAAGTATGTGCAACGATGATGTTGAGATATTGGAACACTACTACTACCTCACCGAGAACATCAGATCGTGAAGTTTGAAGGATATTGCTGACTGTATCAGCTTTTGTACCACTTGCGAATGGTTACCATCCTTTTGTATTTCTGTTTTATGTATAGCTTAGACTGGATGTTAATTTTTTGAGTTATTAATACAAATAATCATTACCAAAAAAAAAATAACACAACAAATAGTAAGGCAGAAAATACCAACGCAAAGGAAAACGTTGGAAAATGTTGAAAATTTTCAACGCTTTTTCATTGAAGATATCACGCTTATCAACGGTTGCCTTGCGTGGTTTGTGTTGAAAATTGGCAACGTTTTTTTAATGTCTGTATATTGGAAATGACGTGTTTTCATGTAATGTTTGTATATATATGTGTATATATATTATATATATGTGTATATTTTCTATTCAATATATGTATCTATTGACTTCTGTATATATGTATATATGCATATATATATAGGTATACATACAAATATATACATATATATATACATATATACATACAAATTGTTTTACAATTTTTATAATTTTAAAATTTAGTATAACTATGAAAATTTTAAAAGTTCGTGATAAATCTTCTAGTTATCTCTAATTTAGATGATTTTTTTGGGAATTTTTCTTTATAATTTTATTTGGATTTTCATAACAAAAATTCGCTTGAATAAAACCATTACCAAAGAAATTCAAAATATATTTTTAATCAATTTGGTTCGGTTTCTTCATATTTTTTTCTTGCTTTTTTTTTGATCTTTCTATTTGGAAAATCGGCCGAAACAGATTTGAGCCCATGGGCTGACACAGATAGGACCGGATTTAGAATTCCATTATCAAATTTAAAGGATCCATTATCGATCGGACGGTGGAGAACGAGAGCTTTATGCGTTGTTTGATCTCCACCGTTGATGACAATATTAAATGATCTAAGCGTCATTTCGCTCTACAACGCAGCTGTGTTCATTTTTAGCTCCTTGGGCGCCGCTCTCTTTCTTATCCCCTTCGGAGAAGGAAGAACCCTAGACATCAAATATCTCAAAGGTAAGAATGGCTTGCTACGAATTTTTCGTTTGTTCTTCTTGTTCCCGTGTTGAACTAGGGTTTTCTGTTCTGTTTTGTGACGACAAGATGAGGCACGAAAAGTGATGGTTAAACTTTCGGATTGAAAATTGAAAACTCGTGTTTGATGTGTAGCTCCATGGAGAATTGCGTTTTGTATGCGTTTGCTTTGATGCATCTGAATCAGTGCGTGTCTGTCTTGGTTGCTCTTGGTGCTGCTGTGTTTCTTAATCCTGTTACAATAAGAGATTTCTGATTTCGGCGACAGAAGATCTAATGGTTCTTCCTTATAATATATGGATCATTACATTGTGTTTTGGTTTTGTTTGATGCTTGCGTTAATGCATTTTGGGGCTTATGGTTTTGTGCTTTTCTGGGTTTCATTTGCACAGATGAATCGGGAAAAGCTGATGAAGATGGCTAACACCGTCCGGACCGGTGGAAAGGGTACAGTGAGAAGGTATATGGATTTAGTAAAATGGCCAAATTACCTTGATGTTTTCTATCATTGGCAGATTTTGTTTCATTAGTCTTTATGATGTCTTGCAATTACTTAATCTAGATTGTGTGCTCTGAGATTAACAGTTTCTAAACAATTATCTTCATTATAGAAAGAAGAAGGCGGTGCACAAGACAACTACAACGGATGATAAGAGGCTTCAGAGCACTTTGAAAAGAATAGGAGTGAATGCCATTCCAGCAATCGAAGAAGTTAACATCTTTAAGGATGATACGGTTATTCAGTTCATCAACCCCAAAGGTAAACTTCAGTTCAAGGTTATCTTGTTACTGTTTTTTTTTTTAATCTTTGAACACAGAGGGTTTGGTTTTAATGGTAATGCAGTTCAAGCTTCGATCGCTGCAAACACGTGGGTTGTCAGTGGTTCTTGTCAGACCAAAAGTATGCCTCTGCCTTCTTATCTACATTGCCACCTTATCTGCCTCTTAAGTATATCTGACCTTTGAATTTTTCCCTGCAGAATTGCAAGACATCCTTCCTCAGATTATCAGCCATCTTGGTATGCACCATTAAGATTTCGTACATGCTTGTGGTATACGATGAACCCTAAATGTGTTTTGTGTATGGATTTTTTCAGGACCCGATAACTTGGACAACCTGAAAAAGCTAGCAGAGCAGTTCCAGAAACAGGCTCCTGGGGTGGGAGCGGCCCCTGGAGCTGGCCAAGGGGAAGATGACGATGATGATGTCCCAGAACTTGTAGCAGGAGAGACATTCGAGGCTGCTGCTGAAGAGGGTCAGCCCAAGGCCGCTGCCGAAGAGGGTCAGCCCAAAGCCGAGGCTTCTTGACTTGAGGAGGTGCTACTGAAAACCGGTCGGATTTACATAATCTATAATGTTTTTGTTGCTCGACCTTTTCGAGCACAGCCAGATTCTTGGTTTTTTTTTTTAATTTCCTGTAATGGTTGCTGACAGAAGGCTGCCTTTATCCCCCTTGATGTTTTGGTCCGGACAAACAGTTCACCTTTCAGAAGATTCGCTTAGTTTTGTAGTGTATCGTCCTCATTACAATCCTCTTCAACCAGGTTGTGATTTTTTTTTATGGGTTTTTGTTCTTTAATTTTGCTCCAGTGCTTGTGAGGGATGCAGCTAAAAGCAAAGGCAAGCCTAGGGGATTGATCACTGTGGTACTGCACCCATTGTGGTTTGTATAATTAGAGCTAGGGTAATAATAATATCTGAATTGGAATCGGATTTCGAATTTTAGAATTTTAAACTTACTGCTGTCAACCATTTTTTTTGTCCTTTTTTTAATTAAATAAAAATGATCTGAGTTTCACCTTTTGTTACCATATATTAAATCTGCAAAGTATTAGCAGAAGGAAAAAAAAAACAAACGGTTCAATCATTTTCATGGGAAATCAAACATCTTGTACATGTTCCAATTATTACACGCATAATTATATTCACAACGACGCTAGATAGCAAGCCATCGTGCATATTTAACCACTTGTTGTGGTCGCAAGTCGCGTTTGGCCCCCGCGTTCCAGATTCTCCTCTTTCTCTTGTTGCTTCAGTGTGTCGTACAGAGGAGCGTTCCACGTTTCGCGAAGCCAGAGGCTCAAAACGCCGCTCAACACAGACGCGACGGCAAAAACAATGAAAGACATCAACGGACTCACCCTCCCCAAAGCGACTAGCAGCGGCGCCGCAGACGCCCCTAACATAAACGCCTGACGCAGAAATGAAACCGCCAAATTCCTCACGTTTGTTGGGAACAACTCGACGCAGTAAACGTACAAAACGTCATAAGCGGTCGAAGACGCCATGAAACCTACCGCTTCAGCCGCAAGCTGCAGGTACTTCGAAACAGCGTTTGCGTTTATAACGCGTGGCAGAGAGAGAACGGCGCAGAGAACACAAGAAACTCCTGCGAGGTACGACGAATTGGAGAATAGCGGACGGCGATTCATTATCCCGAGGAGGATACTACCGATGAAAACCGCCGGAATCTCCATAAGAGCGTTGACTGCAACTGTTAGATACAGATTGAAGTCGAGATTCTCCGAGTTAAGTTGGATTCCGTAGTAGACGAAACCGGTTCCAAACCCGACAAGCATTACCATTACGACCCTTTTCACCGCCCATCTCGTCTTCCACAGCTTCTCGGGCTGCGTCTGATCGTTCGCCGGAATCGGATCGACGAGGCAGAGATCCGCCGGAATCTGCCTACCGTTGAATCTGGCGAGTTTCCTCAACGTTTCTAAAGCTTCCTTGTTGTAACCCTTGACGAGAAGCCACCTCGGGGATTCGAAGGCGAAAGGTAGAAGCAGAACGGCGTAAACGAGCGGCTGAAACGCCATGATTCGGTAGAGATTTCTCCATGATGCCTTCTCCAAGTAAGCGAAGAGAGGCAGAGAGAGAAACCCTACCGTGAAAAAGAAGAAACCGTATTGGCCGACTTGGCCTCTCCATTTTCTTCCGACCACTTCGGTGGCCAGAACGATGCAGCAGGAACCGATTCCCGATCTGAAAAAGCCGTTTGCGCAGCGGAGAAAGGCGTAAACCCAAACGTTGGGCGAGAAGGAGATGGCTAAGGACGTCACGAACGTTAGGAGGCACGAGAGGAGGAGGGTCTTTTTCCGTCCGAGGCATGAATCCGCAAGATATCCATAGACACCAGACCCTTTTCCATCAACACCACAACAACAACAACAACAAAAAAGATTAGGGAAGTCTACTGTTCGATATGAATAGTTTATAATATTTTTTTTGTCAAATAGTTTATAATATTATTATATAGTATATATGTACTACTAATAAAATCATTTCATTTCCGGGCAAGGCCTCGGACCATACCCTCAAAACGGGCCATGAATCTAACGTAAACCTTGCAAGATTACTACTCCCTCTAGTTCTCGAGAGTAAGTGACTTGTTATCATCATCATATTTCATCTATCGAATTCAAGATTACAGGAAATAATGTACCAAAAAGCGAGCCGATGAAGAAGAGTGAAGCGGGAAGGGCAGCAAGAAACTTATGGTCGCAAATGAGGTTCCACTCCGAGACAATGGAGCTTCTCTTTCCGCCAATCCATTCCCATTCTCCGACATCCAATCCGCATAAAGCTGAGGTCTCGAGGTTGCGTTTTCCAATGCTGTGCCCCGAGATTAACCTAGCGGCGGGCTGTGCGTCAGAGAATATTGAGATCAGAGTGGTCTGAGCATCGAAAATCCAAGCGATTGAGACCAAAAGGGCATGAACTATCTGCGCAAAGCCAAGAGAGCCGATGTGTTGTTCGATGGTCTCGTCCACTGTGAGTTCGAATTTGGACACTGCTTGTCTTGTTGTTGTTGATCCTTCTCCTCTTTCCGACACCGACCCGGACTCTCGCGTCATCTCCATGTCGTCCAACGTCTTAATTAATCTATAATGGTTTTTTCTAATGAGTTTGTTTGTTTTTTCATTTTGGTGTCTTGATGTTAAACCACATTTATATAGTTGGTTTGGAAGTGGAGAGGTGTTGTTCTCCCCTGGATAGATAAATATTATTCTATTTGATTATTTTATTTATTTATTTATTATTATTATTGGCGTTTTTGTAAACTAATGTTATATCTTTTATAATTTTGTGCAACGAAATTTTAAATGTAGCTTTCATCATTTTTGTCTATGTAATCTTGCAAGGAATGTATATAAATTATTTTAAACTAAGATGTTTGGCTGCTAATAGCTGTCACATTGCATATAAAATAGTAAAATCGCATCATATTTATTAAGGGTAAATTGTCGAAAAAGCTCGTGTAATATTGTTTTTTGGTCGCGGTTTAACTGTATACTATTTTTTTTACCTAAAAAATTCTATACAACTGAATAATTCAAAAATACATATACACATTCACGTACATATTCACACGCATACTTCGCATACATATACACATGCATATTCAAATACACAAACATAAATATATACATATACACACACACAAATGCACACACGACACATATTAACCAACACACAAAAATAAATAAACACTCATAAATACGCATAGATTACCTTAATTGCAGAATATAACGACTCAACTCCCACCATTGTGGTGAATATGGAAGAATTTTGGCAATTTTCTATTTTCTGAATGAAATTTTTCGAAATTTTTGGATGATTTAGAGGTAAGAGAACATCCTTTTATTTTGGGTTCAAATCCAAACGTGGAGAGTGGCATTTATCCGTACTTTTTCAGTTTCCTAGAGATTTAGTTTAAACTTTTGGATTATAAAAAAATCAAATTCTGAAAAGAAAACGAGTAGCGGTGATTTATTTTGGTTTGCAACGATAATATTCATTACAATCTATCGCATATTTTAAGATGACATATACATGGCATGTCACGACGGTAAAATAAGTATTTGCAACATAAATTTCTATTGTTTGTCGCAAATTTTAAAATTTCTATCACAAATATGTTCATTGATGCGACAGATAATTCCACAACAAACCATCGTTAGTTGCGACTGATTGTGACGAAAACATTTTTCCCTTCATCCCGTCGCGAATCAAATTCCATCACAATTTTATGTTGCGACGATATACATATATATAAATATACATATATACACATATGCATACCTGTATATATACATACATATGTATTTATATATATGTGTATGTGTGTATATACCATATATATGTGTGTATATATATATGTATATGTATATGTATGTATATTTATTGTAATTATTTATTTATTATTAATGTATTTATGTATGTATTGTATGAATTTAATTTTTACTTTAATGTATGATACTATTAGTAACCTTAAGGAGTGGCGGCAAAGCTCTTAATTGATCAACGCGAGTGAACTGCGCTTAGATGAGAGATTTTATTGGTGTTCAGTGTACACTGAGTACAAGATCGAAAAGAATGCTTTGGATGATCCAAACTAGTGTGGGCGAGTGGTTGAGGTGTGTGCCAATGTGTCTTCACGTCAGCGGTTCGATTCATGAGGATGGGGAGAGATATTCACATGGGCTCCCCCGGTCCTCTGGGAAATGTAGTCGGGCCGAAGGCACGGTGAACTTCCGGATTAACAAAAAAAAATGCTTTGGATGGATGTCCGGGCATTGAGAAAGAAGGACGTTTGAAGAGGCGAAATGTTATGTGGTGTTAACGTCGAAAATGACAGATTTTTTTTTTTTTGCTACGTGGACTTCGTTGTTTTGTTTTGTTAAAGGTTGTTGCATTCTCTGTTAAGAAATGTTATGTACAAAGTGTCACTTGCTAAGGCAAAGTAATGCTAAGAAAAATAAATACAACTTTTGCAACATATGATTTAGTGGACTGGGGAGAACCAAATCCACAGTGAAGTAAAAGCAAACGTTGGATGGCTAGCTCGGAGTGCCACCATCTTCTTTCTAAAGCCTTTGTCTGTCTCCCTAACTATCGATGCTTCTGTAAGGAAGACCTGAATATATAACCTTGAGTTTTTTTTTTCCTTTTACAATCCAACACAGTTGATGTTTCATCCAACTACTCAACAGCCAATTCCTGATATGGTCCCAACTGAAAAACGAAATCTATAAACCAATATGTTGCAGTCGTGATCGGTATATGGTTTGAGTTACTTATATATAACTGGGTTATGTAAAATGGATATATTTTTTTATTTCTTTTATGAATAAAGATGTAAAATTGATAGATCGGATCAGACTCGGAACGGACTCAATTTGGATTTAGAAATTTTCGGCTTGGACTTACTTGACCGTATAAAACTTCAGGTTTATATTTGAGGATTTGAAACATATCCCGTTAGAATTTCAGACGGGTTCGGGCCAAATAGGGTTACTATGACTAGTTCATATTACTAGTTGTAACATATCCAAAGCAGTCGACCCTATGTCCTAAAAGTTGCTTGGGCTGTTCCCACAGTTTTAGAGCATAGAGCTGCTGCTAGAAAAAATAAATCATACACCACACCATAGTTTATTTAGGTAAGGTTCTTTTCTAACAAAAACAAACATTTTTTAAATATTTTTTTTTTTGTAATTTACAATCAGTTGCTTTTTATATACTATTTTTTTAAAAAATTATAACCAAAACATTTTACATATTGTAGGCGATCATGTGATATGATGTAAACCATTTTTATTTAATATGAAAACTCCACGGTGTATTTTTTACTCTTAATTTACACAGGTTAAGCTTATGTTAACGAATAATTTGCATAATCTAATTATAACTTCGTTGTTATATAATTCCACAAGAAATAATAATAAAAAATCTAGAAATTGCTTAAGCTAGTTCGAGAAGAAATGTTCTTGTGGATAATGATATATATATATATATATTATTTGTTTATGTATATAATTGGGTGATTAGTTTATTACGAGGTGCGATCACTCCGAGAGTCCATGAACAAAGTGGACTTCCATTTATTTAATTAATTGGATTAGGATATTGCGTGAGGGTTCTTAATTGCTTATGATTCATGCACACCTACGTTTTGGTTTATTTATTCGGATTAATTCGCCTTGGATATCAATATTTTAAGTTAAATTAAACGAGTAAAATAACTAAAAAATAAAAAAATTTAAAATCGAATGAATATAGATTTTTTTATTGAAAAATGTAAAAAAGAAATGAACAGAAATCCGATATATTTACCCATTCTTATACTATAATATGTATATATATGGAGAGAGAATAAACGGAAGCGGGAAAAGAGGGTGAATGTACAAAGAACGCAAAGTGATTACGTTTAGGATTATGGTGTAATCATCACCTCTAAAGACGTGCTCTCATGAGGAATATTCCAACTCTAAGCTCCCCTCTGTCTTGCATTTTGTGATGACGTGGAGCTTAATTTAATTTTGTTTTTTGTTTACGTATAAACATGGATGGATAGAGGAGAGCAAACTCTTGTAGCATATTCTATTTTTATGCCATTATTGGATTCTTCTGTATTTTATTTTAACAATAATGATTAATATAACTAATATTGAGTGGCTCTAACTGGTTTAAAAAATGAGACATTCGGTGAATTTTGAGATTATAAAAAAACAATAATAGTTCATATATATATATATATATAAAGATATACAGTTTGATAAAATAAGTTGAAATATAATGATTTTGATTTGGTTATGTGATTTTCCACTTATAAGTACCAAAATTAATTTTTATTTTTGTTTTGGTATAATACTTATTAAGAATTTCAGATTATCTCAAAATCAAGCAAAATTCTGTGTAAGCTATATAGTATACAATATAACAATAGATTTTGGGTTTGTTAGCTTTTTTTTCGCATTTGGAATTTTGACATTTAAAAATGTTATACCTATTCGACTTTATATCAGATTTGTTAGATTTTTATTAATTGAAATCTTTATTTTTTTTTAAAAGAAAATTCATTTCATTTCATTATTTTTTTGTATTAGAGTTGGATTCGATTATTTTTAATGAAAATTACACTAAAACAAGATTTAGAAATTGGATTAGATTCGGTTATAAATAGAAATAATTCGATTTTTTCCAGTTTGGTAAATCTGAATTGAAATTCCAAATATATATATGCAAGAAGAATTGGTACGTTTGGCACCAAAACGTAAGAAGCTATGGATGAGAAAGACACTACCGGTAGTGGTAGAACTGGTTCCGACACGACATACTGTTTTCGTTTTTTTTTTGGTGCAATACCGAGTTGTCCAATAGATGGTTATTCCATTATAATTAGTGGATCACACATTTATCTTTTTATAATTATTATTATTTTATTTTTATGGTAATTAATTAATGGTGGAAGAGAATTAGAGGAAAAAACAGTCAGATGTTTAGGCATAAGCTTTACGTATGACGACAAAAACACACATCGATTTTGTTTCTCGAATGAATAGTTCTGTTTACATAAAAAAAAAATTATAAAACGTCACTAAAGAATCAAATTCCTTTATATTATAAGGTAATCGTCGACCGTCGTTATCGATTTATTGCAATTTGAGGTGTTGGTTTCTCCTTGGAGCTTACGTTTTATGATTAGGACCTTTTTTTTTATTATTGGTGCAATTCTGGCTGTGTATTCCGTTTTGTACAGTGTTTTCTTAAGGAACCTTCGGAACGAGAACGAGGAAGAGAGTTCCGAAGGGAAAGACGTCATCGTTTTACAACTCAGGGATATTTTGGTAATTTAACGAGTTGAAGAGATTTATTTTTTTTGTCAAAAAAAACTTAATGATGTTGAGAGTGGGATTTGAACCCACAAAAATTCATGGTTCGAACACAATATATAGCAACAATAGCAGTCGGAACCTGAACATGATGCACTTGTTCGCTGCAAATGGAAGGAGACTGTAATTAGGTTAGTGAAAGTCAGAGTCCATAAACTCAAATAAAAATGACTTTCTGAACCCTATATTAATTGAAGAGATTTATTTGTGAAAACATCGTCATTTTCGAGAAGTAAAATGAACATCAAGATTTACCCATGTTTGCAAATCCATGTGTTCGATTTCAGTTCTATGTTTTCTTTCATTCTCGGTCGCATATGAAGTAGTTATTCGTCAAGTTCTCGAACTTGTGCCAGATATGAACGACCGAAATAATAGAATTTTGATGCGTAAGTGAATTTTGAAAAGTAAAGTATTGATGGAAGCGCATATTCGCGAAACGCCGAAAGAATTTCACCGGCATCACTGCCTATGGGGATGGAACAGATTCTACAACTATAACGAGGATCAAATGGAAAGGATATGGGGTATTTGGGGTCTATCCTTCGTAATAATTAGGGGTGGATACAGATGAATATCCATATTTTTCAAAATATTTTTATCTCAGTTTCGATCTCATTGGATTATTATCTACCATAGAATAAAGGAAAATAAAATGAAAAAAAAATAAATTAAAAAAACGAAAGAGAAAAGAACATAATTACTTTTATTATTATATTATAATGAAAATAACTCACATATTTATAGAAAAATTAACAAACAAAATAAAAAGAAAATATAGATACAATAGAAATAAATCAGATACATAATATTTAATATAATAATATTGTATCTATTATTATTTTCGATCATATCTCAAAATCTAATTTTACTTCCATCATATATTCATTTTCCTATTTTAAAATAGAAGACATAAATATACAAAATAAAAGCAAATAACATCTAACTACAAGTTTGACAAACATAATCCAAAGCAATCCCATAGATCAGTAACCGACTTCCATGGCTAAACCATGACTAATACCAAACAAGTACAACACTCATAAGTTAACCGAACAATCTTCCTCTGAAGCAAAGTCATCAGAGAAACTCATAAAAGCCAACACATGCCTTATTGTATATGCCAACATATTTTCGATGAATTTCATACGCTAGCTTCTGTTATCATTCAACAACTAGCTTCTATTATATGCTATACTCTTATGGCAGTTTCATCCATCATATGATTTTTTGTCCCCATAGATGGAAGGAACTCTCGAATGAAGGAGAGAGAAAGCGAGATGGGGAGCAAATCACTTACAAAAAAAAAAAAACTAGTTGAACTCATGCTAAATGTTATAAACCGGAGAAAACCGGTTTTTTCCTTGGAATCAATAGCCGGACGAGTGATTTAGCTTTTAGCAATAGTGATATGGGCCATTCTATTTTGGGCTGAGGCCCATCATATGCAAACAAATCCAATTAAGATTAAACCGGAATTTCCAATTTGCAAACCGGAGATACTACCGTACCAACGGTGCTGTCTCGGTCTCTGACCTGCAAACCAGCGAGAGGAGGATAATGGGAACTTCTCCGGCGATTTTCTCCGGTTGTCTTTTAGTTATACCTCTCCGTACCTTCGGAGTCCGTTTCGCCGTCGAATCTTTCCCCCTCCGGCATTCGATATTGGCTTGTACGAGCCGTCTCGTTTCGGAGAAACCCAGTTGGAGATGGAGCTGCTGCTGCAAATGTCGGAGAGGAGGAGAAAATGGGTACACGAGAGAAGAACCTCTGATTGAAGGAGAAGACTACATCGTGGTTAATTTCTATAGCTTTGTGCTAATCCGTGACCCTGTAGCTGAGGTTGAGAAACACCTTGCATTCTTGAAGGTTCGTCTGGTTTTGTCGATCTTCGTGTGAAAGGATGGTGGTTTTCTCTTATAGAACTGGGGAGTTTCCCCATTGATCTTACAAATTTTTAGTGGAATTGTGTTCGTGGGATCTTACAAGTTCTTGGAGGAATTATGTTCGTGCTTTAGAGAGTGGTGATATTGAATTTGAAAAGACGCAACGAACTAATAAGATAAGATTTAGGATTTTTTTTCCTTAGGTAGATTTAACCTTAACCATAAATGGAATATAATTCTTGGGATTTATGTTACCAAAGATTCTGAAACAACCGAGAATCATTGAGCACAATTGTTTTCTTGTTTCGATAAATCGATGTTTTGAAGTGGTTTTCGGCATTCAGGAGTTGGACATCCATGGTCGGATATATCTTAATGAACAAGGAATCAATGCACAGGTGCTGTTCTGTTCTCCTCTACAAGTGTATTATCCAACTTTCTGTCTGTGTGTAGTGTACAATACATCTCTTAATGGCATATATTCAATCGAATTACAGTGTCTGGGAAAGGCAAGCATTTTGTTTGCGATAAACATTTCACCAATATATACGGGTATACATGAATATTATGTGACGATATTATTCTGAATGTAGCCCTGCGTTGTGTTTCGGCTTTTCCACCATTATATATGGGTATTCACTTCAGTGGTTTCATATACATCTGCAGTACAGCGGGCCATCGAAAGAGGCTCTTGCTTATGTTCAGTGGCTTAGAGGAGATGAAAGATTCTCCGATGTGCTCGTCCAGACATCACCTGCTGTAAATGGGCATGCATTTCCCAAGTTGAAGCTTCGATACAAACCCTCCCTAGTACAGGCAAGCCACGTCCTAGAACACCAACTTAATTTAGATTCATAACTTCATGGATCATGTGGAAAAATTTGCACTTTGGGCACACACAACAGCCAATGCCTAGATATAGTGTTTCATACATACATGTTTGTTTCATACATACGTGATCAATATAATCACGCCTGTATTGTTATATTGTATTGTCTGAAAGGACTTTGTCCTTAGATGCTTTGTTTTTCCTTTTCTCATACACAGTATGAAGGAGGAATTTCACATCTTCCACTACTTGATCCGTCAATGCGGGCAAAACCCTTAGAGCCGTCCGAATGGAGAAGAAAGCTGGAACAAGTGATGGATAATGGTGAAGCAGCATCACCTTCAACCGTTGGCAGCAACTGCATATTGTTGGATGTCAGAAATGGTATTTGTTTTCTTTTTTTTTTCTTGTTGTTTTTTTCGTTTTATATTTACAGGACTGAATAACCATGCTCAAATCCTCAGTGGTTTTCCGATTTTGAGTGTGTGGTTCCTCTAATGGAGTCGGGAATTGCTCTTGTTTCGGACCCATGTACTGATCAGTTTCTCAAGTTTTTTCAAAACCGATTGTATTTTATTTTGAACAGGTTATGAGTGGGATATCGGTCATTTTCGTGGGGCACTCAGGCCCGAAGTTGATTGCTTCCGAAGCACTTCCTTTGGGCTATCCGAAGAAAAGGTACGTTGTTGAACATAAGGATAAGACAACAGGAAAGTCTGTTCAATGGATCGCATATTCATGGAGTATCGAGTTTGTGTTGGCTACCTCGTGTCCTAATGTGGACACAACTTATTGGATATCATAAAGTACTGGAAGATGACTCGGGGACGAAATGCTTTGCTCATGTCCAGGATGCTCCTCCAGAATCAGACCCTTTGACAAACGTTGATAAAGAAAAGACAGATATACTGATGTACTGTACTGGAGGTATACGTTGCGACGTATATTCAACAATTCTGAGGTAACAACTGTACTTACCGGCTTGAATTATTTGTTCATTCCTCTTGGAAACATGTATTATCTTTCTTGAGGAGCTACGAAATCTCTTTCAGACAGCGGGGTTTCAAGAACTTGTATACACTCAAGGGAGGAGTTTCTCATTATCTAGAGGAACAAGGCACGGCCGAATGGGTTGGGAATCTGTTCGTATTTGACTCCCGTCTCTCTCTTCCACCGTCTGCCTACAGTAACAGACCCGTGGATGCAACCTCAAGCAATCCTGTCTTCGCAAGATGTTATATCTGTGATTCACAAGTTAACGAATTGAGACATCGGAACTGTGCTAACCTTGACTGCAATCTGCTTTTCTTGTGAGTTCCATTATGCTTTCTTTCCCAATTTAGTTACAGAAAGATTACGAGGGTTTTCATTGTTTCTTACCAATCGTATCTTCATCTGCTACTCAGATGCTGTGCAGATTGTGTTGTTGGCTTGAAGGGTTGCTGTTGCCCGAAATGCACCACTGCTCCCCGACTTAGACCTGTCTTATACGGAGAACGAAGGTATCGGAAATGGCACATATACCGTGATTCAAACGTGCAAAACCCACCGTCGGTGTGATCCCCCGGAGCCGTGGTTATGCAAGTTACTCATGCCTTGTTACCTTAAATGAGTGCCGTGTAAGAAATGCTCGATCAAGAGTGTTCTCTTATTAAACCAACCCATTCGGCTTATTTTAATTAATGGATTGGGGTAACCCAAACCATTAATAATGTAATAAAAAATAAATGGGTTGGATTAACCCTATTAACTAATTTAAACCCAACTAATCCATTTATTCTAATTAATTTATTAATTAATATATTTTGATTGGATTCGTTTTGATTTGTTTCAATTCAAATTCGTTTTTATAAACCTTTCAATTTATATTCGATTAAGATTTGGCTTCCACACCGAATTTCGTTCGAATTCAGCCAAAAGATTATGTTTGATTGAGATTTGATCTGAGTTCAGTTCTTATAAATAATTTTGTAGATTCATACTCGTTTCAGATTCGGTTTTTGCATAAAACTTCGTTCGATCTGGATTTGATTCGAGTTCAAACATAGTATTGGGTTCGATTCGATTCAATTGGAATTTAGTTTTTACATATGATTTTGTCTGATTCAGATTCAATTTTTAAATAGGATACTGTTCGATTCAGATTCAATTAGAATTCGGATGTAGGATTACGTTCGATTCACATTCTGTTTTAAATATAATTTCGTTCGATTCATATTCGATTATTATATATTCAAATAATTTAGGTTAAGAGTAATGAGTTTATTGGATTTAATGAATTTATCCATTAAATCCATAAGCCAAATAGGTTAAATTCATTAACCCATTTAATAAAATTAACCAAATGGGTTTAACTAAAAAAAATATTATTATTATTGGTTGGGTTGGGTTAATCCATTTAACTCAACTCAATTGACATCTATATGTAGCGAAATCAATTTCAGAAGATATGAAAGACATTTCAACAAAACGTATCTTCTGAGCAGTAGAAGTTGGTGAATTGATGAGATAGTTCGACTACTATTTCGGAAAGAACTAATACCCTATGCTTTTGAGGAACCCAGGATATAAAAGTTTTTGAGAACTTACGTTTCAATCCATAAATGTACAAACAAATCTTATAGCAAAAACATTGTATTATTTTTCAAAAAAAAAAAAAACTTTCAATGTTAGAACCTTTCATATTTTTTTTTTTGCAAAAAACTACAGTTCACAAACACACATACATTACACACACACTTATAATTACATAAATACATCTATACACATAATTCGACTCCCTTTCAACAATGCTTTGAAACCGATCCAATTGATTAAAGAAAATAAAATTGCAATGAATTTTTTATAACCTTCAATGTTATTTTTATAGAGCAACCATTAGTAATCGATAGAAACTGTTTTTACAACTCCATCCATAACTTTCAGTCTTTACAACTTTTCAAAACTGAAGGAATTTCCTAGGCTTTAATTCCAAAGTTCACAACTCAGACACTAACCTATTCTAGGGTGCGGAAAATTAAATTCACAGTTTAAAACTAAGTCCTAGAACAGAAAAAACTGTAAAATCGTGCACACATGTTATAGTAAAGGAGATCTTGAAAGAGATACTAACTTGTAGACGAACGAAAGCTGCCTTGCGAAGAGACAATAACACCACCAAAAGTGTCATAGAAGAAGGGCAACACTCTATACAAGTTATTAAATTTCCCTATGGGTTTCTAACATGCGATCAAATCGATGTAGGTTTGGTTTTTAGGTTTCACGTAGTAGAAGGAGCAATCAAAACCTATTCACGGAACCAATCATGCAAACCCAAAAGAACGTGTGTCTTAGTGAGGGAATCGATACTTAACTCGTTCCTAAAGAAATGTGAAGTACAAATCAATTCAGACCCTATTTTTGATCACTTAGGACTGAAGTTACAGTCCTTTTACATGTATCAACCGATGGAAAGGATTCCAAACGATTTGGAACGTATCTGATAGAATTTGTAAAGAGAAAAGTATCTCAGAGATACGAGATCGAATCCCAATAGTTAGAACGCAAGAGAATGGCTTCTCTAGGTCTCTCAAAGGTGTCTCTCAATTTTGGAGCATGGTTATCTAAGTTAGGATAAGTTTCAATGGAAAAAATAAGTTTCAAAACTCTAAAATCTGAAAATTGATAATTTTCCGGACAGCGGTCCGCCGGACCAAACCACTTCAATTCGAGCTGACCACAACTCCGGTGTGCCAGAACTGAGGGTTGGTCCTGGTCCAACCAGATCTTGGTTAGCTGGACCAAGCTTACTCACTTTTAGGTTGATTGTCGCTCTGGTCTACCAGAACTAAGGGCTGATCCGGGTCTAACCAGATCTTGGTCAGCCGGACTAAGCTCACTCACTTCCTGGTGGATTGATCTCTCGGTCCATTTCTTCGTTGTAGGCTGTTCTATGCTGACCAACTCTTGGTCTGTCGGACCAGACCTGGACAAATTAACACGGATTGACTTGCGGTCCAAAATTCGATTCGAACGTGGTCCGGGACAGACCAAACTTGGTAAGCTCTGGACCAACACTATGAGAACTCATTCTCAACACGTTTCGATCGAATTCCAATTCCATCATCCGGATTCTTCACATGTAGTTCATCCCTAATGGTGTGTGATCCTATAAGCTCATTCGCAGTGGCAGTATATATCTTAGGAAAACATTCACGAACTACAAGTCATGGTTAGTCTCTAGCAGGACGCTATGGCCACCCAACTTGAATTAAGTTAGAGGTGATCTAACCAAGGGAGTAATAGCTCGAGATCTGACTAGTCGGTCCAGAGACTGGATCGGTCGGTCTGGCTTTTATCTTGAACCAGACCGCAACTGTTGCTCCGGAAGCTGGACCGATCCATGGGTCTGGACCGGTTGGTCTGGCCAAGTCTGGACCGGTCAGTCCAGCCCTGTGGATCGGTCGGTCTGGACTATTTCAGCTCGGGATTTTTTGTCTCTTTCTCGCGCACTTGTCCTTCCCTATATGTGTGATCCTATAGACTCATCCGGAATAGCAGTAAGACGCAGAATCTCTATTCCTGTAATACAAGTCATAGGCGGTCTCTAACAAGACACTATGACTACCTAATCCGAATAGAGTTGGTCTCGTGATCTAACGAAAGCCACTAATAGTCCATAGAATGATCCCTTTGTAACGCGATATCATATGTCGAACATAAGACATGGAGCCAGCTATTTTATCAGATTCGATTGCTTTTCTCGTTCGTTGATTTAACTGAAACATCATATGACTTATCATCGGATTGTGCATATCTCAGTCTGAACTCACTCGAGGGGCCCAAGTAATCTCTCTCTCGGGAACATAAGTACAAATTATGTATTGACTATCTACTTTCCGAAACATGATTCGTGTCATATCCAAGAGAAGCCGTTATAATCTTTCTATTACGCAAAACATTTGACGCAATCAAAGTATGATACTCCTCATGTAGGAAACCGTAAACATCTCAGGTCAAAAGATCTAATCATGAACCTATCACATAAGATTCAAGTCATGACTCATGTCCATGTGACAATCTCATGCGGTTCATCCAGTACTTCATTCCAAATCAATACCCATGACTGTGATCTGTATCCAATACACTTGATCATCTGTATAATCAACTATCACACCTCATAATAGTCTTATTATATTATCATTCTCACAATAATACACGTATAGGGAATTTAAGATCGTTTATAACGATTCACGAATTTTCTTACTCATCAAATATACAAAACGAATAAAGAAAAAAAACATTCATTCACTTAACCAAAATCATGAATCTGTCAATACAAAATATCTCAGTACTCATATCGTAAAGCAACATGTAGAGCACCTAAACCAACAAGTCATACAAAACGAATATAGCTATCTATATCCCCGTTATAACGTGCATAGGAAGTCTAGTGAGTTGTATTTTGTCTTCATGGTCCAAACATCTTTTATAGATTTCAAAAGAACATGAAAAGTCAGCGCAAAATGATGCAGGACAAAATTCAAATAGGAGTTGAGTCCGAGCGTGCAAGGCGTCCGGATCGAGCGTCGTCATCAAATTTGTCCTTTTTTCTTTCGACAGGCATTCGTCTAAAATGCAACATGGTGTTCAAACGGACTGAGCTACATTCGATCAAACTATACCTGGTTCGACTGAATGACTTCCAGTGACCTTATCAGGACTGCCTGGTTTCTTGTCTATGAACTAAAACAATAGATGACTCTCATCTAAGTGCAACCATGTATTTCCATAGTTCATCTCATTCTGAAGGGCCCAACGATATTTTTCTCAATACAAGAAAGCCAAATCTTATCTACACTACCTATTATCCTCTACATGATTCATAACGCATCTGAACACAACTATTATGGTTCTTTGACTCTTCAAAATATGCTACTTCTCATGTTGGATACCGTGTAGGGTTACTCTACGGTTTTCTAACATGCGAATTTATCAAGACGAGCTAGGCTTGACTTCTAGGTTTCATGAAGTGCAATGAATAAATCAAATCTAACATCAAACCAATTACACACATTGAAGTATTGTGTATATCACCGTGAGAATCAATAACTTACCTCATTTTTTAAGAATTTGAAGTGAAATCGATCTAAATTAGACTGTTTTAGTCTCCTATGACTAAAAACACAACCTCTTTACATGTATCCACACATGCGGAAACTCGAATGCTTTGAAACTGATCTATTAGGATCAGTGAGGAAATAAGGTCTCAAAGACTTGAAATCCAATCCTAAGACCTATCTAAGAGTTCTCTTGTTCTATTCTAAGTCTAGGCGGTGTCTTCAGGACTTAAATTAAGTTTGAAACCCTAAAAATTGGAAAGAAGGAATTTTCCTGAGAATTGATCTAGCCTGGGCCAGGACTGATTCGATATGGATCAACTCCCGCGAAAAGCCCAATCTAAAAACACTTTTTGGGTCATGTTGTTGTTTAGGCTTGGACACATCTGATCCGGTCTGGATTAAAACTAATCTGGTCTACATCAAATCCCTGAGAGCATTTCTCGACCCATATTTGATCTCAAACACCTTCTGGCTCAAGCCACTCTCGTTTTGATCTAGTTCAAATTAGTTTTGATCTGGTCTGGGTCAATTTTCTGAGAGTTTCTTGGATATCCTGATTTGACCCGACAATCATTTGTTCGATCATATCCAATTACAAATTTTTGATACTTCACGTGTGAATCCATCCATTGTGTATGACCATATAGGCCCATTCGCAGTGCAATGG